TTTCATAATTCTTCCTGCTTAGTTTTTCTTATTTCGAAAAGAAAAAGGGAAGGGAGAGATAAGGGAGAGGGGATGGATTAAGAAGAGCGCCATCTTCTTTGCAACTTGTTTTGTCTCTCCTTCTCCTTTATTCGTCTCTCTTCCATTCTTTTCTTGGCTCTTCCCATTAAAATTGTGTTCCTTTCATCGCTCCTCTCCCCTTCTCTTTCCCTTCTCTTCTCCTGTTCCCCTTTATATGACAAACACACAAGAAAGGAAGAACAAGAGGGGAATGGAGGCCCCTTTCCTGTCTTCTCCTGTTGCAATGAATAAGGAAAAGAGCATAGGAGATAAGGAAGCGAATTGAAGAGTAAATGGGCGATGGAACGGGCGTTTCTTTTGAGAGTTTTCTGCATCTTCAAGGGAGAAAAAAGGACATCCCCCAAGGAGGAAAAGTAACATAAGAGATAGGGAGGAAAATTGAAGAGCTCCTCTCTTTACCTAGTCATTCCCTGTCCTCTCTTCTTATCTGTTGTTCTTCTTAGTCGCTTCAACAAGCAAAATAAGGGAAAGGCGATTTCCTGAAGAGGAAGAAGGGCACCTATCTATCTGTGAATAGCAAGATTGGTTTTTTCTAATTAGGGAGAGACAAGGGAGATATATAAAGCTTTGCGACAAGTTTTGTCACTCCGTCTCCTTGCTTCCTGTCTGTTCTATTCCTTGCAGAGATAAGGGAGAGAGGATAGATAAAGAAGAGTGCCATCTTCTTTGCGCCTTGTTTTGTCTCTCCCTCTCCTTTATTCATCTCTCTTCTATTCTTTTCTTGGCTCTTCCCATTAAAATTGTGTTCCTTTCATCGCTCCTCTCTCCTTCTCGTTCCCTTCTCTTCTGCTGTTCCCCCTTAAATGACAAAAACGCAAGAAAGGAAGAACAAGAGGGGAATGGAGGCCCTGTTCTTTTCACAATGGATGGGGCAAGTGAGCGGGGTTGGCTACTTGCCCGTAGACCCTCCCCATGCTTCAGCAAATTCTTCCTCTCGCCCTATCGCCTCTGTTCTTTTCCTTGTTCCCAAACGGAAAAAGTGAACGGGTTCCTGAAGACGAGAGAGGGCGCCTGTTTTTCTAATTATAGAGGGAAAAGGGAAAGACAAGGATGATAGATACAGAAGAGTGCCATCCGTCCCCTTGTTTCTTGTCTTTTCTCTTCTTTTCAATACCCTTCCAGAAAATTAACATGGCATCCTTGTTGTCTCTCCTCTTTCACTTCTCTTTCCCTTCTCTCCTTCTGTTTCCGTTTAGCTGATAAACCACAAGAAGGGAACTTGTATGATAAGGGCAGTGGGAGGGTAAGCAGAGGGTGACTCCTTGAGTGTGGACCTTGCCATACTTCATCATATCACTCTTTTCGGCCTATCTCTTCTGCTCTTTTCCTTACCCTTCTCCTTTTCATAATTCTTCCTGCTTAGTTTTTCTTATTTCGAAAAGAAAAAGGGAAGGGAGAGATAAGGGAGAGGGGATGGATTAAGAAGGGCGCCATCTTCTTTGCAACTTGTTTTGTCTCTCCCTCTCCTTTATTCATCTCTCTTCCATTCTTTTCTTGGCTCTTCCCATTAAAAGTGTGTTCCTTTCATCGCTCCTCTCTCATTCTCTTCCCCTTCTCTTCTCCTGTTCCCCTTTATATGACAAAAACACAAGAAAGGAAGAACAAGAGGGGAATGGAGGCCCTTTTCCTGTCTTCTCCTGTTGCAATGAGTAAGGAAAAGAGCATAGGAGATAAGGAAGGGAAGAGTAAATGGGCGATGGAACGGGTGTTCCTTTTGAGAGTTTTCTGCATCTTCAAGGGAGAAAAAAGGACCCCCCAAGAAGGAAAAGTAATGCAAAATTGAAGAGCTCCTCTCTTTACCTAGTCATTCCCTGTCCTTTCTTCTTATCTGTTCTTTTTCTTATTCGCTTCAGAAAGCAAAATAAGGGAAAGGCGATTTCCTGAAGAGGAAGAAGGGCACTTATCTATTTGCGAAGAGCAAGATTGGTTTTTTTCTAATTATGGAGAGACTTGCCCCGCCTGAGCCTCCCTGGCCTGCTTGTTGTGGCCACATTCCGCTACAGTTGCCCCGCCTGAGTCTCCCTGGCCTGCTTATTGTGGCCACATTCCGGTACAGTTGCGCTTCCAGAAAAATGCCATCCTTGTCATCTCTCCTCTCTCACTTCCCTTTCCCTTCTCTCCTTCTGTTTCCTTTCAACTGATACAGCGCAAGAAAGGAACTTGTATGATAAGGCAGTGGAAGGGTAAGCAGAGGGTGACTCCTTGCGCGTGGACCTTGCCATACCCCCTCCTATCGGCCTATCCCTTCTATTCCTTTCCGTCCCCTTCTCCTTCTCATAGTTCTTCCTTTTTGTTTTCTTATTTCGAAAAGAAAGAGGGCAGGGAGAGATAAGGGGGAGAGGATAGATAAAGAAGAGTGCCATCTTCTCTGCGCCTTATTTTGTCTCTCCCTCTCCTTTATTCATCTCTCTTCTATTCTTTTCTTTGCTCTTCCCAGTACAAATGCAATCCTTTTTGTCTCTCCTCTCTCCTTCTTTCTCCCTTCTCTTCTCCTGTTCCCCTTGATGTGACAAAAACACAAGAAAGGAAGAACAAGAGGGGAATGGAGGCCCTGTTCCTTTCTTTTCCTGTTTCAATGGATGGGGAAAGTGAGCGGGGTTGGCTCCTTGTCCGTAGACCCTCCCCATGCTTCAGCAAATCCCTCCTCTCGCCTTATCGCCTCTGTTCTTTCCTTGTTCCCACATGGAAAAAGAAAACGGGTTCCTTTGCATGTTCATTGTTCTTCCTTTTGTTGTTTATTTGAAAAGGAAAAGAGCAAGAGAAGAAAGATGAAAACGAGCACCATCTTCTCTTAGCCTGATTTTGCACCTCCCTCTCCTGTCTTCATTTCTCTTCCATTCTTTTCATTGCTCTTCCCATTAAAATTGCATTCCTTTTGATCTCTCCTCTGATCTGCGAAGAGCAAGAATGGTCTTGTCTTTTGAATTATAGAGGGAAATGGGAGAGGCAAGGAAGGGAGAGATGATAGATAAAGAAGAGTGCCATCCGTCTCCTTGTTTCTTGTCTCTTCTCTTCTTTTCAATCAATACCCTTCCAGAAAATTAAAATGGCCTCCTTGTTGTCTCTCCTCTCTCACTTCTCTTTCCCTTCTGCCGCAGCCAAACAGCGACTTTTTCACGCAGGCTGAAAAAAGAACACGCATACACAGATAGCAAAGAGAAACAAATGAAAATAAGAACAACCAGAAATTCGCAGTTCGTAATGGCGTGCGGCTAGGCCTAGAACCGCTGGGCATGAGATTTGCGTGCCATATGTAGGTGTAAATATGTATTTTTGTATTACGATATTTATATTCGCTCTTTTTAAGCAATAAGAAAAACCCAAAGCTAAATAGACCCTAAAGGCGGCGGGCTCATATATATATATATATGTGTGTGTGTGTGTGCGTGTGTGTGTATGTGTGTGTGTGTGCAAATTTTCCGTATGTGTGTATATATATGTATGTAGTCTTTCTGGGAAAAATACATATATATATATATGTGTGTGTATGTGTGTATAATATAGAGAAGGATAGAGAGACGGGAAGGCATGGAGGTTTAACAAATTCTCCGGGACACGCTAGTTCATCGGTGGATATCGGTGGCTTCGCTCTGCCATCGGTGCGTCGCAACAACGAACCCTCGTCTAGGTTTTGCCAAGGGCCATGAACAGCCGTATCTCGATAGGTTCAGAAACCAAGAAAACAAAACCATGAACCTGTGATACACAGAATGTGTTTGCCCACTTCGTTTCAGGAGCATGCTGACAAATGTTTGCAATATGTCTCAGAATTTCAAAGATGACATGTCTCACAAGTTTTTGCGCAGGACGGATGCCCTACAAAATCCGTTGTCCCAGTGGAGATCGGGGCCCAGCATTTCCGGGCGAGAATTCCACTCAGGCACCCACGCTGCCTAAACGCAGCGGTTATGTATGGACAAAAATCCTGTACCTACTTTTCTCAATATGCATGTGCATCATCGTATGCAGTTGCGCAATATCATGCGAAAAGCCAAAACAGCGGTAGCTAAAATGCACAATTTTGAAGGAATTCTTGAAGCTCTCCGAAAATCCCAAAGGAAAAATAGCAGTCTTCAAAACCTTTTCCTGGGGCTTTGCTGCAAACACTTGCTTATGTTGCGAGAAATATGTGGAGAATAAACAACATCTCCAAAACCTTTTGTTGGCCAATTGATAACAAGCGGCTTCCCCTCGCCCATATTCAGCTGCAGCAGTTGGTTCCACGGTGCCTTGATGAGCTGTGCGGCCACAGCGGCCTGCTGCTCGCGGATGCAAAAATCCTCGGCGATGTGCAAAGTAACGGCGACGAAGCGAGAAAAAACCACAGCCCAAACATTCGGGAATCAGATGTGCGTGCATGTGGTGTTTTTTGGGAAGCACACGTGATGAACATCGCACACATGCAAGGGAACCCCGGTTGGGGGGATTGCTGTTTTTGGGACACACCTTTGCGAATTGCCTTCTAAGGCATGAGACTACAGAATATTGCAGATGGATCAGAGGTATCAAGCCATCTGATGCCATCTGGTGTTCTTGCTTCCGACACTGCCAATGATCAACTGCCAGGGCTCGTTGTCAACCTCCAGAAGCAACCAAGCGGGTTGCTCACGCGGCCTCCAGTTGACACACCCGGAGCTCGCCTGCTGCAGCTCGCGCGCGAGCCATGGAGCCATGTCGGGCCTCTCTCGCAACCGCAAGCATCGAAGAATGCGCTGTTGCGCACGCAGGGCGACAGCGTAGGAGCCAATGACCTGCCCGGTTGCACGCCCCTCTGGGTGCGGAAACAGGACATAGGCACCGATGGAAAGATGAAGACACACATGTGATGACACACGCATGTTCCTTCATGATTTCGTTCATACTACTCTGACACAACATGACATCTGGAATCACTCACCTCGCGTGATGTGCATGGGCGCCTGCGTCAACTGACCTTCCTCCCTGAGAAGCCTGGAAAGGACGTAGAGCGGAGCTGGTTCTTCAAGTAACCCACAGCTCCTCATCAAAGCATCAAACCGTCCCTGGCCATGCATGGCTTCAAGCACGCGCTGCCAGGCACCATCTGTCTCCTTCTGCCTTGCTTCCAGCGCAGCTTGCAGGTCGTCGCTCAATGTGGTCGGAAAACAACCATCAGAGATCTGAGGCAACTTCATCTCTTGCGCCAGGCGCCAACTCTCGTGCAGTGGCTTGCTAAGCTCCGCGTAGATGGCAGAACAGCCTTCGTCTCTCGCCAACTGCAGTTCCGCTGACCGCCGAGGGGGTGGTTGAAAGGCCGGTGTCGGCTTCAACACAAACTGTTCTTTCGGTGCTCCTGCCTCCCACAGATCATCCAAAGGATGCTCTTCCAGCTCTGAAGGGAGAGGCTCGGAGAGGTTAAAGGCATCTCTGCAAGCGGGTGGCGGCAGCGTCCGAGTTTCGGCCGGGCAGCTTCCCCAAACAGCACGACTGGACCACGGCAGCAAGTTCCGCAAGGAAGCGCCTCCGAACTGCTGAATTGTGTTCTCCACCTGCTCCAGAAACGCATGCAATTCAGCTGCCCGCCACCAGCGTTCAAAGCATCCATTCAACTCCCCTGCAAGCGCCAAAGCGTTCTGGACCATGTGGTCTTCACAGTCATGGACCTGCACAGCTCGTAGCTTCTGAAGCCACCTCTGGTTGACTACACCCTGCAACCGCTGGAGGCTTTCGGCACAAAGATGGTTGTGTTCCTGTTTCCTGGCCTTATATTCTTGATCAGCTTGGATTTGCTGACGATGGGTGGGTCTTTGGGGCCGAGCTTCTTTGAAGGGCCTCAGGTGCCTCCGGATGATGCCCTGGACTGTGTTGGCATTCAAGTCCCTCTCGTTCGGCTGTATGTACAATGAATAAGCCGGAGGATCCAAGGCTCGGAAGTCGTTGCTGTGCAAACAAATGCTGGCCAACACTTGTAGGTGAGCCACACAATGGGGCCATCGGGAAGCAAAGTAAGCCAGCATGAAGCTGCATTTCTCCTTGCTTCCTCGCTTTGCAGCCCGAAAGAAAGTCAACCACCAATGTCGCAGACCATCCCCACTCATAAGCTCCCACGTGCCCACACTCTGCTCTTCACAGGACACGTTGCCGCACCCTTGCAAACTTTGATTGGTAAGCAGGAGACTCTTCAAGCAAGGCCTTCTCTCAGGCGGCGGCGCCAAAGTCTTGCCGAAAATCACGAACGCAACGTCCCTGACCTCTTGGCAACCTCCTAAGCTCTCGTGCCAAGGTTCTGGTTGCCACGGCCGACATGGCTGCGCAGCCGCCGCCTCCTCCTCTGCTTCCAAACGCCCGGGCAAGCCGAAGATCTCACTGCTGCGGAAATATGCCCTTTGGGCCAAGCTGCCGCACCTCTCCAAACAATATTGAGGTTGGTGGTGACTTTGCAAACCTGAAAGGGCTTGTTGCTCCGAAATCTCCTGCAGGGCGTCACGTGCAAGAAAAGCGAAGCCTTCATGTGCGCAGAGCGCACAGAACTGCTGGAAATTGACGACCTCGGCGCCGTTCTTGCTTTGTCGCACTGGGGACAGCCTGGCAATTTCCTGCAAGGTTCTTTCTGCCTCGGAACGAGGAACGTCAGCACCATTGGACAAGTTCCCTCTGCATCGAGCCGATCGAAGGAGACCCAAAGATGTTTCTGTTCCAGTTCGCAACGTAAACGGATCTCGGAGCACATGGGATGTCAGCGCATGCAACTTAGCAAGGTAGAGCCAGGCCACGCGATCTTTCTGGCCCCTCAACTCTCGAAGATCTTCGCGGACAGAGTATACAAACACCGGTGGATTCAGGAGATGACCTAGGTTCATCTTCACGAGGCAATGGTTGCCATGGATCTCCCTCAGCACCTCCGAATGAGGCAGGAGCAACTTCTTCTCGTGGGTCGTTTCCAGTAGCAAGCCATGCTGAAGCCCCACCAGGGTGCCGATGTTTTGGTCTGCTGCCACTTCTCCGCCAAACTCACGGGAAATGATGCGGACAGATCGCCCCGCGATGATCTGGAAATGCAAATTTTGCAGCCTGAGGCGAGCGAGGAACATTCAACGTCTAGCATGGAAATTGCTCGCGCACACTGCCTGAAGTTGATTGGTGGGACCCCCTTCCATGACACAGCCTCAAGACTCAAAAGTCATGAGTCAGCCCATACCGCAAAGATTGGAAGATCCATACAACCGCCAGTGACTGCCCAGCACCCCATGCACCCCTTTCCAACAAACGCCTGGGCAAAATGGCTTCAGGAGCTTTGGCATCGTTGCGAAAGATGTGAATGTGGTCTGGGTCTTCCAAGCGGCGGAGCACCGAAGAAATCGCGTGAAATGTGTCGCTTCGGACATCCACCAACTTGGAGCTGTCCTGGCTCCGGATGACCATCATGGAGTCGACGTGGAGCACATAAGGTGCGCCGCGGACTGAGCAACCATACTGATTGTCCGGGTGGTCGAACTGGATAGGCCGGAAGTACACGGAAGCTTTCCCACCCTTGCCTCTCACCAGCCAATGGCTGTAATCTTCCACGAATGAGATGGGCAGGTCACCTTGAAAGCTTTGGTGTGGAACCAGGGTGGCCTTCACCAGCTGACCCTCAACTTCCCTCTCCTCTGTAATAATGACCTGGCCATCTTCCTCCAAGTCAAACCCGAAGCAGGCGCCCCCCATGATTCTGGTTTTGTAGCCTCGTCCACCATGTGCTGGCTGCACATCGAAGATGCTATCCCGGAACAACCTGACATAGCACTCGCTTTCTGAAATCTGCTCTGGCAAGCGACCAACAGGCCGCCCATTCACCAGAAAGGCGCCTCCCAACACATCCACCTGAATGATGCTCTGGTGCCCTGCGCGGTGGAACGTTGCAGAATACCAGCTTTCAGCGGGTGCTGGATAGCGTTCCCAAGCCCCGACCTCACCACCCCGAGAGTCACTCCAATGGTCGAAGAGCCACGCGGAGAGCGCAGTCGTCGTGGAGATGATGACGTGGAGCTGGGTCTCCAACTCTAAGGCAATCCTCATGGCCTGGAAGAGAATCCTCTTCCTCAGATCGACACCGCTGCGAGAAGTGTAATTTCGTCTGCTTAGGGAAACACTTGCAACATTTGCGGTTGCTTGCTCTTGACGGAATGCACGGACGCTCGGAGAAAATGCACAGTCAAATAGCCAAATACCAATAAGGGGTCAATGGGGATGATTCATCTAGTACCCGGTGAAATTTACCAACGCCCAGGTTCCTGGCAGGCTCCATACACTGCACTTGAACAGCACCCAGCAGGATGTTGTCGTATCCCACGGCGCGTGCCGTCAGCCAGTCCTTCAAGCTGCTCCCCGTGACGGCAGTCTTGGCCTGGTTTATATAGGGTTTGAGGTTCTAGGGTTATGTGTAGGGTTTTAAGGTTTTTAGGGTTTAGGGTTGTGGGGTTTTCGGGTCTCGGGGTTCTTTGTCCTGGCCTCTGGGCGAAAGGTCAAGGCAACGGAGGCAGCGATGTCCACCAGCTTCAGCCGCAGCCTTAAAACCATGATTGAAAAGCCACACTGCCCAGGAGGCAAAAAAACACTGCAAACGACAAGACAACTTGATCATAGATTGGGTCACATGTCATCATCCTATCGAACTTAAGTGGCACGTCTTGAGGGCCAACATTGCCCAACCGATATACTCAGTCCGACCAAGCCGTGCCCGGTTGTTCAAAACCTGTATTGAGAGCTTGGCAAGCTTCTCTGCAATTCAAGCAAGGTGCGTCTTGACCAACTCCGCATTGTCAACGCGGCTCATCACATCTCTGACTTCAGCAAGCCAACGGATGCCAACTTTCCTGCTCTCCAGCAACAAAGTCTGGGCTGCATCGGCACCTTGCAGCAAACCAACAAGTGAAGCAGGTGCTACGAACTGTTACCGGGCATCTTCGGCGCAACCGAAGCAAGGCGAAGGTACGCATGCAACACCACCTAGCAGACCTATCCGCAAACAACAACACCAGTGTGTCCACACACTACTCAAGCCAAATGGCACGCGGCGACCTTAACAATTCAGACCTTGCAACACAAGCATTTTACACTTGCGAAACGTTTCGCAAAGCCGAGCCCCGGCCTGCTTGTGAGTGCTCGGCTATGCAGCGTGCAATGTGGCAGATGCATAGGAGGACCTTGTCGCTCGACCAGTTGTCCTCTGAATGCTTTAGGAGGCGGGTCATGTGCTTGCAAAGCTTCTCAGCAAAGTCAGCCGTGTTGAGAATCTGCAAATTCATCCGGAGCCAGTCATCCGACTCTGCTACAATTCTGGGCACGAGAGCATCCAATGCAATGTTCTGCCTGGATGGAGGCCCAGCTTGCCACAACAATGCCTTCAACACATCAACCACACCCTGACGTTGAAATGATAACGTCCGCTGCTCAATGGCACGCAGCAAGCGCGGCAGTTGAAGGGAAATACCTGCACGCAGCTGACCATATGCCTCAAACTCAAGCAAGTTGAGAGCTGGATGCGCACTTGACTTGCCCGCGATCACCATGTTTTCATCATGCTCCCAGGAGAAAATGAAAGGTTGGAGCGACACATATGGCTCATCCATGGTCTTTAGCAATGTGAGATCTGTCACGCACCAAACCAACGAAGCATTCACAGGCTGATGGTGAAGCAAGAGGACTGTATCACGTTTGTTGTTCACAATGAATGTCGTGTGCTCCAGTATGTGCTGGGTGCACTGAAACTTCTGGCGTGTCGCGCCTAGAACTGAGATCAACTCCAGGTGTTTACGCCAAGTACTCAAAACATAATCATCCCTCCATGATGATGCATTGGCTCGCTGAGTGAGGTCTCGTGGCACACAAACCTGAGCCAACATGAACATGGCATCACGGTGAAGCGCCAGCATCTCCGGAAGAAGCAGGTCATAGACGATGGCCCGCTGCATGTCCTCACACTGAGGGAGAAGCTTCTCATAGAAAGTCACTTTGATGTTCTCTGCTTCGTGCTGGAGATTGGAAGCTTCGCTTTGGAGCAAGCACTTCCTGCAGCTGCTGTCATGTTCGTTGTTGTAGCGCTGGTAGTAGCTGCACCAACCTCGGAGACTTGCCAGGTCAAGTAGCTCCCAAAACCAGATGAACAACAAAACACAAAAACGACGCACACGAAATGAAACCGAAAAACAACGTGCAATCAATCTCAACCTGATCTCAACT